AAAAAAAGAAAAAAGAAAAAAGAGCTAACGGTGCTTTCGTGCTTAATATACTCATATTTTGTACGACAGGGCTCCTACATATACAACATTCAATTTGTCAGCAAGCGAAATCAGCCAATGGTTTACGTGACAATAGAATTTAACGAACGCGAATTTTACTCTTGGCATCGGTGTCAATAATTTTTGGAAATACTATATAGCTGACTATTTTGTTGTGCGTAAATGCAGCCTACGCAACTTGGCCACGTGGTCTAACCGCCTAGTTCCCCTACTTGCCCTCCTTTTCTTGCGACTCTTTTTTTTTGGCTGAAATCGGTTATCTCAAATACGATCTTTTTTCCTTTTGAGGAAAAGGCTATGCGCAAAAGTAAAAAGATGTCAGAACACAGCATAAAAAAAAAGAAACCTGATGAACAGCAATGTCCTGGAAAAGATCCAATAAAAAGAGGAGATACCGGGATGAATTCTTTTAAGCAACTTTTAATAAAGAAGCTGAAAAGAGTGTTCATGGTTACACTTACATGTAATCATTTCTTCATATTTCTTGAAATCATTCATTTTCACGTAACACACTCTTTCCTAAAGCCAAATCACGCATCCTGTCAATACATAGCAGTTGAATCAACGCCTATTTCAAAAACAGCCTGTAGTCTAAAAAAATTTAAAGCGAAAGCTCTAAAGTTTCATTCATCCTTGCTGTCAGCGATGGTCGTCGAACCATCAATGGTAAACACTGTACAAGCATTCATACACGTCATTTCTGCACCACATAGCGTTTTTCTACTCTCTCTCTCTGCTTACCAATCTGCTCTTAAAAGGGATCGTTGCTCACGATGGTTTATTAGCTGCCTTTTCTGGTGACAAATTCAAACTCTGTTGCCAGCTGCCAAAAGCTTCATACATGTGTACAAGGTTATTGGCTGTCCATGTGGTTTTCCCTTTGACAAAACTTTGTGTACAAAGCTGCCGTGCTCGTATCATCGAATATCCAAAGGCACAATGTTGGCGATTTGTTTGGTTACACCAGTGACTGTGGCTGCAGATGTATTACCGATCTTGGTTATTGGGACAGTTGCTACTCCCTATTCTGTCATTGGACATATTTAGCCACAGTCAGTTTAGACATTGAGCTGCATTTATCTTTGCTTTTCACAAGCTAATATGGATAATAATCCTGATTGAACAGATTCAGTCCCGCTCCTTGTCATTTACTAAACAGCCCCTGATTGTTTTATTGGTCGAAAAAGAACTCATTCAAAAGAAACCAAACCTCTGTATAAACTCTTTATTCAGATCATGACCCCGAAAGAAGGCATATTATTAAATCATGTTGACAAGGTGTGAGGTTGATTAAAGGATTAAATCAATGAGAGCAAGACTACATTGAGGATGACGTATATTTCATATCAGGAGAGATTGATAAAAACCAAAAAAACTTGGCATAAAGAGCAGACATGTGCATAATATAACTTTAGTAGCTGTCAATGCATTGATTATTATCAAAGTCATTGAAGTAGTGCTTAGTTGATCATTGGCAAATGACAAAAAGAAAAGGAGTAGTCTTCAATCAAGATATACGCACTCCTTTCATAGTGCCAAGGGGAGAGCGCGAGACTAAGTTCAATAACAGCATCAAAAGAGCTTTTTTTATATTTTACAACCACAACTCATAAACCGATTCTTCCTTGACATGCTTCAAACTCTAGAGATAGAGGCTTCTTTTTATTCGGTCCAAAGAGTGTTAAAATTGATTTATATGAGTAAATAGACGCACCATAGCACTGTATAAAATGATATACCTGCTACTTGTATAAAGAAGATCTTTATCTTGCAGAAAATCTCAAGGGAACCAAAGTAAAAATGATCCAGGCAGTCGTCTGTATCATTGAAAAGATGCTGAAATGACCCTTATGATGGTCGAAGCTAATCTTGTCATTATCAGAGCAGCCGTACGCATGTAAAGTCTGCCAAAAGGAGAAACCGCAATTCCTTTATCCCCGAGCAGCTTCAGAATACCGTCGACATTGTAAAGACTGGACTCGTTTTTATCGTCCAGCTGCTTTGTCATCAGTTTAGAGAGAGGGGTGTTTCCCCCAACAGCACAAATTTGGAATCGTACGCTTCGTCGCGTTTAGCATTAACTTCAACCACTGTTTTCATAAATGGATAAATCAGAAGGTCGTTAAATATCCAACTCTCTAGACTCAGACTTTTGATGAGCGCAATAGAAAATGTAATTATAAGGATGCCATTAGTATCAGAGTCTAGTTTGGAAGCGTTTTGGTTAGATTAGATATTACGATGCTTTGAAAATGATTTTCAAGAAAGTCGTGCATATCTCCTTCTTCACCAACGCCAGAACTTGGCTTTGGCTGAGTGCCTTTCTAAATTCATCCAAGTCTATTTTATGAAGATAAGTTCAAAACCTATCATTCCAATGTTAATTGTGTTCATAACACGATTATGATTGACTATTTGTGATATAGCCACAGTAATAACAATCAAAGAGATATAGTCAATAGTCTCTTATAACTTCTAATTAAGAACAGGGCTATTAAGGCATCGTCATTTATATGTAATCAAGATTGTTTATGACCAATAAGAATTGATTATGACGCGTCGTATGAATATGTTTTGTGATATTGTTCATTCTTCAAGTCATCTCAAAAGATGAAGTATTTACAGGGTAAATGCAGCGCTGTTTTCATTTCCTTATTGTATTTCATACGCGTGACTTTGATAGCCATTTGATTATGAAATACATATTAGTATACATGCTGAAGATAGACATGACAAAGAAACTTTTTGATCCAATTCTTTATATTCTCAGTCACGCCTGACTGCTTTTCAAGCTACTACCCAAGATCATGTATATAGTCTTATTTATATTGTATGTGCTTATTGAGGCAATCGTGATCTGTCCTCGAATTATCTCTGCATTATTTGATGAGTTGAGTGACATTTTAAAAGGCTAGTCCAGGAATAGCATTTTTTCTTTTTCTTTTTCTCCTCTTTTAGGCAACTTAAACAGGGAAATTCGTTGTCAGCTAAGCACAGATCATCACGCAACTCTCTTTGATCTATTTGTTTTTTTATACATGATTTTGTAGGAATTAGAAAAACTTGTTATATATATATATATATTGTTACATGATTCATCACATTAATCATCAATGAAGCTGCTGATATTGAACTAGAAATTAAGGGGAGGGGGAATCACATGATATCCCACCCCACTTTAAATCAAGATGGAGCTTTATAATTAGGAGAAAAAAATCACCATCCGTTTTAACTAAAGGCACAAAGCGAAATTATTACCCAAACGGTATTTTTTTGGTCTTAATTTGGTTTCGAGGGAGGTGATCAAAGGGCTGATCAAGTACACTTCAAAAAGCTGACCAATTGGAATTTAATAACTCGATCTCAATTTTTTCGAATTTGGAGAGAAGCACTTGTAAAAAAAGGAAAAATTTTTTCAAATGTGAAGTAATAAATATTCATCTTTTCTCTTTTTTCTTCTTCTTCTTTATTCATCTTTTTCTTTCTCTTTATTTTATAATTTATAATTTATAATCTATACATCTTGTTATATCTTAGAAAAAAGATTTACTATTAATATTCACAGTCTAAAGAAAAAAGTAATGAATAAGACAGCATGCGCTTGGACAATATTATCTTTGAATAATTTCAAGTTTGTTTATATTCCTGCTTGTCTTGGAAAAATACATGTCACTCGCGACTTGACGATTCAAGATGTACTATTGAATTTATCCATATTTGATCTTATGCATCCAAATGAAGTTGAACTTGCAAAAGCTGATTTATTTAATTTTATCAAATTAAAAACCTTATCTGGTTCGATAACCCGATGTAGAATTAGATCATTAAAGAGTTATTTACAGATTGTCGTAAGTAAACCTCCTTTTTTTGGGTTGAACAACTAAATTGATCTTTTTTTTAAAAAAAAAAAAGAAGGAGGATAAAGCCAATCCTGTGGACACTGTCTGGAATATTTTAGATTTAATTATTTATTCTGCAACAGAACACGCTGTCTTGGCTTTCTTTCATAACATTGGTATGAATAATAAGGATGAACAAATCGACATGTTCTAATAGATCTATAGATTTTGGTCACTACAAGCTAATAAAAGATTGGGAAATGACTCTATGCTGTAATATGGAAAAGAATGTCACCTTTTTACCAGAGGTAAAATGATCATTCCCTTGTAATTGCAACAACTCATCATTTCGAAAGGATGCGATAAACTTGATGCATTATTTATCAACTACAGAACCTTGTACAAATACAACAGCAACCATTCCATTTCGCATGTTTCAAATAAAAGAGCACTCGACGGGAAAGGTCTTGTTCACTTGGCCGCCCTTTGATCAAAATTCAGCACAGCTTATTCATCATGTCGAATCAATCGTCAAGTCAATGTCACTTTACGAATTCAAAAGCTGTTCTTCTCTAGACAATAGCTTTCCTATCGACTCACATACAAAGGTCCATCTGAGTAAGGAAAGTATAGCCTGTACTCGTCACTTTTATGCAAGCAAAAAAATGGAGTTTAATCAACAGCTCTGTTACTTTGAGAGAATGGTCATTCCCTATGGTCTTATCGTATTCGAATCTTTTCAAGTCAGGCCGGCCTCACCCACGACAGCAACAGCAACAACAACAACGCAGCAATATACCAGTAATTTTATACCTCAACTTTTAAAAGGTTCGTATCTTCTATTTGGCACTAAATAATTAAAAGGAAGAACCGGAATCAAATTCTCATTTCGATTATTCGTTAAGGCCAAGTCGTAGCTCAAGTACATCAACAGACTATCAACAACGTAAGATCAGCAAAACTCCTTCTTTGCCTTTTATCACCACTGCCTCTCCTTCAACTGGTTCGAGTCCAAACACGCCAACGACAACAGGAACAACCTTTACTGGTACTTCATTGTTTCAAAAGTTTCGAATACAGCAAAATGATAAACCATCCCAACAGGCTGTCGACAAGAGAAGGAAATTAGTAGAACAGCAATCATTGCAGTCGTCCATATCAAGAATATCTGATATAATTCCAAACAAGTACAACAAGGCTGAAACGGCAAATACTGTCAAAGTCTGTGCTAGATGTCGCACGAGCAATAGCCCTGAATGGAGAAGAGGTCCGGATGGAAGCAAGACGTAAGATAAATGATTATAATACTGACTCATCATGACATTTATATTTACTAGGTTGTGTAATGCCTGCGGTCTAAGATACGCAAGGTACAAATCAAAACAGTGGAAGACCGCAGCGAACAGGCACTGACAGTTTTCTCACACACTGGGCCTTACTCCGCCACCAAAAAAATTTTCGAAAATAAAAAAAAAATTGATCATCACACCGTACACAGAACTTTTCTCTCTCTTTTTTTTACTTTACTTTATTCATGGCTTCCAGTGACGCAGTTTTGGAAATACTTTCCAAACTTTCCATCAACGTCGACCCTATCTCTCATGACCCTGTTCTTGACACCAAGACATGGGCTGAAAAGTTATCCAACTTGCAGACTCCTCAATACCAGACAACAAAGACCTTGATTTTTAAGCCCAAGACAGCCAAGACAGCACCCGTCACTCCCGTTTTTGTGATTGCCCTTGACTCAACCGAGACAAACGCGACAGCACTTGGCAAGAAACTTTCATTAAAGGATTTGCGTTTTGCCAGTGAGGACTTACTCAAGGACACCTTCAAGACCCAAAAGGGTTCCGTCTCTCCCTTTGCCTTGTCTAACGTAGCCGAATTGAACAATGTCCATATCGTCGTTGACGCCGCTGCCTTACAGACTACGGACTTGCTTGCTTTCCATCCTGCAACATCTGACAAGACCATCTTCATTTCAGCTCAACAATTAAAGACATATTTAGCATCCCTCGGAAAGGAACATGTCGAGGTGGACTTTAAGGCCCTGGCCGAGGCCAAGCCCGCTCCTAAGCCTGCCAAAGCTGCCCCTGCAAAGAAAGAAGGTAATTTTGATTGTTTTATGTAAGGGGGGCAGTACACTAAATATTTTTTTCTCTTTATACAGCCATTGTCAACAACAATGAAGAGGTGAATGCGATGGGTATTGGATGTAAGAAAGATGAAGATTTCCCCAAATGGTACCAACAAGTATTGACCAAGAGTGAAATGTTGGAATACTATGATGTCTCTGGTTGTTACATTCTTCGTCCCTTAGCCTACAACATTTGGAAGGAGATCACCAACTTTTTCGATGCGGCCATTACCGAGATGGGTGTTGAGGACACGTATTTCCCCATGTTTGTCTCCAACCGAGTCCTTCAGCGCGAAAAGGACCATATCGAAGGATTTGCACCTGAAGTTGCCTGGGTGACCAAGGCTGGTAACAGCGATCTGGAAGAACCTATCGCGATCCGTCCCACGTCAGAGACGGTCATGTACCCCTATTTTGCCAAATGGATTCGATCTCACCGTGATTTGCCCTTACGTATCAACCAATGGTGTTCTGTCGTTCGTTGGGAATTCAAGCATCCTCAACCTTTCCTCCGTACACGTGAGTTCCTCTGGCAGGAAGGACACACAGCCCACTTGACCCTTGAAAGTGCCGATAAGGAAGTCAAGGAGATCCTCGATCTCTATGCTCAAGTCTACACTGACCTCTTAGCCCTCCCCGTTGTCAAGGGCGTCAAGTCCGACAAGGAACGTTTCGCAGGTGGTTACTACACGACAACCGTCGAAGGTTTTATCCCCACCACCGGCCGCGCCATCCAGGGCGGTACGTCTCACTGCCTGGGCCAAAACTTTAGTAAGATGTTCAACATCACCGTCGAGGACCCTAACGCTCCTCCTGGTGAGGAAGTACCCAAGATCCACGTCTGGCAAAACTCATGGGGTCTCTCTACTCGTACGATCGGTGTCATGGTCATGACCCACGGTGACGACAAGGGTCTTGTCTTGCCTCCTCGTGTTGCCCTTATCCAAACCGTTGTTGTTCCCTGTGGCCTCAGCGTCAAGTCCTCCAAGGAAGAAATCGACAGAATCTACGACGCCTGTGCCGACGTCGCCGCTCGTCTCAAGAAGGCCGGCATCAAGAGCAAGGCTGATCTCAGAGAAAATTATACCCCCGGCTTCAAGTTCAACCATTGGGAAATCCGTGGTATCCCCCTCCGTATCGAAATCGGCCCCAAGGATCTGCAAAAGAACCAGGTGTTCTGTGCCCGTCGTGATACCGGCGACAAGTTCTCCATCTCCTTGGATAACCTCGAACAAGGAGTCAAGGATTCGCTCGAAACAATTCAACAAGACATGTTTAAGAGAGCCAAGCAAAAGATGGATGAGTCTATTGTGCGTGTCAGCAAGTGGGAAGACTTTGTTCCTACCTTGAACCAAAAGAAGCTGCTCCTCGTTCCCTGGTGTAATCGTACCGAATGTGAAGATGACATCAAGGACCGTTCCGCTCGTGTTGCCTCTGAAGGCGAGGAGGAAGATGAACGTGCTCCTTCTATGGGTGCCAAGTCTCTCTGTAAGCCATTTGAACAGCCTACTGAAGATCCTATTGTTCCTGGCGTGACAAAGTGTGTTGCTTGTGACCATGATGCTCAACACTTTATGCTCTTTGGTAGAAGTTACTAATTATCTGTAAAAAAAAAAAAAATAATCATAATCATAATAATAAAAAAAAAGAGATAGAGCATATATATGTATATGTTTATTGAAATAATTGGTTTTATGAATAATAATGAGATGCAATTTTTGAGTGTACAGGTGCACTTCTTCCTTCAGCCGATTCTTCATCTATAGGATAAGATTCTAAGCTGATGACCGAATTGGACAGTGAATAATGACATGACTCTCTATCTATTTCATGCTGTCTATGAATGGATGATTGTGAGGATGTGGTTGTCCTAGAAAGAAGACTGGCTTCATCGTCAAGCGGACTATCCAACGACGACACAAACGGGTTGCTCTGCACCGAGCCTGCCGATCCATACCGCTGGTGTCGTCGAATCTGTGCCAGCGGGGGCAAGGTAATGCCCTCGGATCGACCGACGTAGCCTTGAAAGCCATGGAACTTGGCATCGAGCATATCCGCCTGCTCCTTTTCTCGCTGTGCTGTCTTTTCTGCCTCGAGAATCTCAAAATCGCTCAGTCGCATCCGGCTGACGGTCGTCTGGTTGTCTTCTGGCTCGTCCGTGTCAATGATGCCATGCAGTCGTCCGTGATACCCGTCCTGTTGGGTTGGCCAGACATCGTACCATCGGTGAGAGTAATCAGAACACCACACTGCCAGCAGCGGGAAGTAGACGTGGAAGAGGGGTACACCGATAGCGCAGTAGAGGATGAACCAGAGGATGTACTTGAACTGTCGACGCAGCATAAAATAAAAGATGTGTAACACGATCAGCCCGGCAAACGAACCAGCGATGATGGCATAGGCCAGGTCCTGGTCGAGAAAGTACCGGATGAAGACGTTGTAGAGGTAGACGATGATGGGCATAGAAAAGATCATGTCGAGCAGCTTGGTGAGTGACATGATCCAGTACATGATGCCCAGATGCTTTGCTGTGTGCTGGAACTCGACCTGGGTGTGTAAGGTCGCTCGTAGGTTACGGATCTGGAGACCCTGTAGGGCAAGGAAATGCGTTGGAAGAGTGGCATATGCGATCGCTTCAGGCTCAAAGCCAAAACAGTGATTCGGATGCGATCGAAGCAGAACAATGCTAAAGTACTGTTCCTCACCGAGCAGGAGTATGTTTTCCATATGTAGTGTGTCAGGACGAGGTGCGGCAAAGCCACGGAGAACGGTTGGGTGAATACAGACAGGTTGAACATCCAGAGGCTGAGACGGTAGGCTAATGGATTGCACCAAGGCAACACGTTGATCCACTTCAGCAGGCTTTTCAGATTTTTTATGATGGCGGCGACGATGACGACGGCGACGACGCGCCTGTTGGACATCTTCTTCACTGCTGCTACTACTGCTACTGCTTCCACTGACTGGAACTGATGGATTCTTTTTCCACACCGTACTGCTACTGCTCACCACAATCTCATCGCTCACCTTGGGCCACTTGGGTTGCCTCGTTTCATCTGGCGTCCACAGTCGGTACATCACAAAGCCACCGCTCAATGTCGTCAGTCCGCCTAAACAGGCTTCATAAGCCAGTCCAGAATAATAGGTCATGTAGATTGGAAAGATCTGAAGCATCGTGATCAGGTTCTCTTCAGGATTCGCCGGCCGCACATGCCCGCTCACAGCCAACATCTTGGGATCAGCTTCCAGTCTGGACACGAGACGATGAACGACGTCGTCTTGGACCTGCGTGTCCGCATCGGTCACGAGCATGTACTTGAGCATACGTGGATCGATGCCGAGCAAGTTATAACACTGATTAAAGAGCTCAAATTCGAGAGGACTGATCCGGTTATGAGCTAAATTGAGACACCGTTCCAAAAAGCTGAGGACGATCAGCATCGAGTCTCGCTTGCCTCGATTTCCTGGTGCTCGTTTCTGGTCATACTCTTCTCGTTGTGAACCTACTTTGACAGCCATCAGGAACGGCACACGATTACGACCCGATTCGTAAAAGCCTGCATAGACTTTGCAAAAATTCACCTTGCGGGATCCTTGGCCGAGCGAGACATATGCCCTCAGCTCGGGGTCCTTGGCTGAACTGTACCCGAGGGCGTCCAACAGGCAGAGATAGTTGTCCTTGGCAGCTGATTTGCTCTTGACGATACCATCACATACAAAAAAGAGAAGTTTTCGTGAATCTGGGTAGCTGGTGCGTGCGAGTGAGTCGACGGTCTGGCGGATTGTTTCGGCCGACTCTGAGTAGAAGGGGACAAATAAGAGAGTGTATGGCATGAAAGACATGACGAGATGGCTACTCCTTGATTGAAAGAGAAACCGTTGGACAAACTTGAGTCGTGTGAGATTGGCAAGGTTCATCTTGAGCAAAAAGTAGAGCAGGAAACAGCCCATGGTGATCCAGAGAGCGACATTGATGTGTGCACATCCGGTTTCTGTGTTACCGTCGACGACGCCATGATAAAAGAGGGTGTTGAGACATTCTTTATAGAGGGCTGGGCTCGGAATCTGGTCGTTGAATGAGTTGGTGATGTCTTTGCCAAGATTGATAAATAGCATCACGGTCAAGTCGAGTGGTAGAAACATACGGTCAACGGCAATGGCACGAGAGTATATATCTCGTGCTACTTTCACAACGTTGGTTGCTCCTTGTAGATAATCTGTCACATCCAGTACTTTGTTATCCAAAATAACATAAGCTCTGCCAGACGCCACGCCTTCACGGGGTACTGTCGTACAATTGTTTTCAATGTAAAACTTGTCATAACTAACAGCTATAAGACAAAAAAAAAGATTAATATACACATGAGTATATAATAATATACACTTGCCTCCTTTTTTTGGATACGTAGCCAATTGATATTGATCTGTTACAGTGTAAAAGCAGGGTGCTCCTGTCTTATTACGATGTGTCGGAAGGGGACAAGATAGCAATTGTCCATTTTCAAATCGATAACCAGGATCATGGGTTAACTTATAGTTGAGCCATTTATCTGCTTGTTCTGAACGATTGAACCCATTGATACAGTCATCGAGGATTCTGTGGTTGTAGCTCCTTTGTCCAGTCGGTCGTTGGAGTAGCATGAATGCAGGAAACATGGGTGATAGGTCAAGTTGAGGGTATATATTGGCTTGCTTCGTCATTTCACTGCTATTTCCATACTTTCTCCAATCGATCACTTGTCCGTTGATGGTGGAGTAGTGAGAAGTGGGTGTATAGACGTCTCTAAAGTCATAAGTCTTGGGTGGATCACAAAACAAGGTGGTGATGAATTCCAACCAAAAACAAAATAGTCCAGATATTAAAATATACAAGGTGAATATCGCAACTTTTTCTCTCCAGGCTTGACGTCTCACTATATGTAATGAGTAGATATATACTTATAGTATTACATATATATGGGTGTATATATATACCTTGTGTGGATAAACCTAAAAGTTTTAAGAAAGCATCAGGAAATGGAAATGTGCATAATTTAGCAAATGCAACCCAAATAATACGTCTACTTGAAGGTTGACGCATTGGTTTTGAATCTTTCATTAAAGAGCATTAAAAAAAAGGGAGACAGAGAAAGAATAAAGAAGGTAAGAGAAAGAGAAATATCCCATTTACAACCAAAAAAAATAAAATAAAATAAACCAATAGCAAGCACTCCTGAAATTTACAAACATTTCAAATGAACAAGGTAGTTTTGCCTTATAAAAAGGAATATATACATATATATATAATATATTTACTGTTAAGGGCATTTATTCATATGTGTATTTGTTATATAAAAACACTGTGAAACAGAAACATTAATGCTGCCAAGAAAAAACATGGAGTAAATCTATCTGAAAATAAAAAAGGGAGGACTCCCATTTAAATAGAAGGGTGTATCAGCAAATGATTTATTTTATCTGAATACAACACATAAAAATACATAAAAAATCAAGATATTTATAGATGTGAATAATAATAAAGTGTAATAGTGATATGTGTAAGAATATATATAAAAATATTTACTCCTCTAACAAAATAAGGCATATAGTTATATATATAAATATAGTATATATATAAATATGAAAGTGTGTGTGTGTGTTTGTTCATATAAAGATAAGGAGAGAGAGAGAGAGAGAGCAACGAATGAAAGGATTATGAATGTTCAAAAGAAAGGGGAGGGGGGGTATTTATCTTGATTTTTTAGATGATTGTCTAACATGACTGACATGATATCCAATAGAGAAATGATCTTCATCATCAGTATATTTTCTTTTTTGACTTGTTCTAATCGGAGAAGGTGTTTGCATAGGAGAAGAATGAATTGAACTTGGTAGAGACATTGAGAGTAAAGGTAATGGTTGAGGTCGTAACGGATGAGGATAATAACAATGATCTTCTTCTTTTCTATATCGTTGTTTTGATGTATCTTTGGGAGGTAAAAAAGTATTTGGTGAAAGTAATAGGGTCCAACCGGTTGGAGTATCAGGAGAAAATGAAGGTGGAGTCGAAGGACTGGTAGGTGAATGAATCAAATCAGGAGGGTTGAAATTCAAGTTCAAATCATGTAAATGAGTGGGCTGGTTTTGAGTCTTGGCTTCGATATGAATATGCAATAGTTGATACCATTGCTCAAAAGTAGGCTGAGAGATGTAAAGTCGATAATCAATCATGTTTAAAAATATCCTTTCGGCGGCGTTAATCTCGCTAACAGGTAATCCAGCTATTTTAGCCCATGCCGAGTTTCGATAGGTTTTATCTTGTACAAATTTAGATGCAACGACAAGGCTCGCCAAAAACATGCGTCTACCACAGCTTACATACGCATCTTCCCAATATGGTTGTCGATGATGCATTCGAGATAAATGACTAACGACGGAGGGTCGAATACGAAATAAGTAAAATAGAGCTGTTTGTAATGTTGAATATGTCGTCCTTGATCTCTTGAGTACTTCTTGAATAAAAGTTCGAAGTGGCACAACATTGATATTATTGGCTGTCAACTTCATATTCCAAATTGATTCGATAGCCATTGCATTTGCATCTATTCATCATCAGTTTCTTATCAAGATGTTACGATGCTTCACTTTACCTACGAGGGCATCTACATAGGCTAGTCGATTATAATGATTCATGAATGGAGGTCGTTTCATAGCAGTTACAGAAGGCAGTCGATGATGATGATGCTGTTGTTGTTGATGATAATAATTGTTATTATTTGTTGTTGCCGTTACATGATGATCACGATTCAACATGTTACTGAGTGCATACATTTCTGGTTCTGTGTATGAAATCTTGTTTTCTCCATTGAATTGTAATTGTTGGATAGATAAAAGTGACATTACTATTACGATGTGAGCCTAGTTTGCATTTAGAACAATAATGCATTCATGTTTACCCAAATGATATCTTGTTGATATGAAATATATATAAAAGTTTACAACACTTTTTTAATAATAATACTTTTTCTCTTGAATTAAAAAAGAAAAAAAGAGGAGGAAAGAAAGAGAGGAGAGAAGAAGAAAAAAAAAGAGACGTGAAAGAAAGAAAGAAAGAAAGAAGGAGAAGGGGGGAGAAGTAAAAAAAAAATAAAAAATAAAAAAATAGGCTTTAATGTGATAAAGGGGCATATATAGTAACCAAGTAAAATAGTTTTAAAGAGAAATCCTTAAAAAGGGAAGTGCTGCCATACTCTTTTTTACTCTTTTTAAATTACCAATCAAACTCCCATTCTCTATATCCATTTATGTATCTTTCTCTTCCCTTTTTTTTGGGCTGTCATCACTCTATTCATTTACAAAGTTCCCTGCTCTTTTTACCTCTCTCTAGTTCCCCTTCCCCTTCAACTCCCTATTTTTATGTGGCAAAATGACTATATCCAAAAATAGTAATCACTCAGGTTTTTTTTATTATTGTGGGCTTTTACAATGAATTTTTTTATATTTCAACCAAGAAATGGCATGAAAGACATTTATATATTCTTTATGTGTGTGTGTGTGTGCATTCAACGTGATGGATCAACCATCTTTCTCTCCTTCCTTCTTTTCTCTTTTTCTCCCCTTTAGGCTAATTAGATGGCTGAACTCTATTGCTACAAATGTGTGGCTCAAGTGATCCCAAAATACAATGGTTTTGTTTCCGCTATCAGTCGTGTCACTATTAAAAAAAAAGCAGGCCCTTTCTTTTGTCCCTTCTTTTTTTCTTTATTACGTTGTGCCTTTTTTATGTGTAAGACGAGATATGACCTAATGTACACTCTTTACTATATGCAGCAACTATTTATGAGGAATGACATCAATTCAATCCATAGCTTACCCTTGTGTTTATAATGAAGCTCAGTTACCACATTCTTTTTCAATTTCTGAGATTATGTATACACACACATGCAATGGTAAGGTGATGTGCTACACTTGTTTTCATTCTCCTCCTCCCTTCCTCCCCCCCCCTTTCTCCTTTTTTCACACATATGACTGAAATGCGTCATGCTGTTATGATTATCACCCTGAACCATTTTATCCTTTTTATGGCGAGTTTAAGCCCACATTTTGATTTGAATCCCAGTCACTACAGAGATTTCCTAAAACATTTGTTCATTTTTGGCTGACTGAAACTTTGCCTTTCCCATTTGATAATGCCTTGTTGATTAATGTGCTTTTCGACCATTTCAGGAAAGCATGAGTTACCCCCAAAAAAACTGAGTACAAGTGTGTTTATGACGATGGATGCTTCAAGATGCGCAGTACCTCTTTATAGAAAACGTACTTACAAGCACTTGAATGATTATGACATAGTATGAGCTGAAAAGGATAAAGGCAGAAACGTCGGGGCTTTAGATAAAATGTAAAAGAGCATAAAAGTATAATGAAATCAGTCAACTTCCCCCTTGGTTGGGGGTAGATATCTATAAAAGATACATCGGTAGATTTTATATGCAGGAATGAAAGAATAGCAAGAAGGTTTGTGTAAGACGCTAGATAAAGAACAAGGGCCTAGAGCTAGATTTGCTTTAATACACCTCAACTATCTGATCAATCACTTGAACCCCCCCCCCCTCTAGCTGTGCTAATTCAAGTTGTGATAAACGCGATTTCTCCTTTATGAACAGCTGGAAAGTGCGCACAGTTTCAAAACACAGCCGTCTGTAAGCACCTCAAAAAAGCCGACTTGATTTAACAGGTCAGCCAAGAGCTTATATGAACGACTGGGGGAAATATGATCCATTATGAAATGATTACAACATAAAATAATAACCAGTGACCGTACTGATAGACTATGGAAAAACCCCTCTCTTTAGATTTATATGAAACGCAGCTTTACCTTTAAGTCCAAACTACTAGTATAGTCTATATCTGTTTTTTATCAACTGAATGAAGGTGATCTCTCTTTCAGTCCAATAAGACACTTTTTTGCCACAGATTTTAAAATACTGTTTTACCAATATTGACCTATCCAAGCTGCGCCATAAGACTATCTTCACCAATTAGTATTGTCAAGCTTCCACTACTAGTTTTTCTTTCAATGGTGCCATGTACACTATCAGAAAAGGCCGTATTGAGATAGCAAAGTATGTTGGCTTTCAAAAGAAAAACGAAAAATGTGTTGGCTGCTGATTATGCTAAATGAAGCGTGTAATCATCCAAAGTCACCGCAAAGACAAATTTTAAACCGCATTTAAGAAAGTGCAAGTGCATATTTTTATGGCCTCTCATACAATCTTTACCGCAATATTGCGTATAACTTTTTTTTTT